GAGCACCAGCCCGCGCCTGGTTCAGGGTTCAATAATCCCGACAAATAACAACAACTCTCGGTCGTTACATCAGGCGACTTTTCTGGCATAGGCGTATCCTAGGATTTTTTTTGGTCAGGGGATAATTTTTACCAATTTTTGTTCAACAACATAAACAGTCAATTTTTTTGTATTAATGAAAAGCTTCTTTGAATATTTTACTAGCTTAGAATATCTCCTCATTTCTTGATTTTGAATAGAAAAAATTTATATTAGGTTTTATAAATCATACTTCTTTACTTTAACTTTTTTTTTTCGGGTAGGAGGGAGAAAGGATTCGACTCCTCATCCTGGAGACGCTCATGTTTCCTGTCCTCGCATGTCCGCTCGCTCCGCGAAGAGATGAATTTGATGACGTGCGGGAGGTAAACGAGGCTTCCTCTCGCATTGAAAAGTAAAACGAGGACTCCAACTTCTTCAGTTGCCGTGTCGTCGCGTCTAAGTTACAAGTTTCGAAATATTCCAATCAAAGAGAAACAGAGACAGAGACAGAGAGAGAGAAAGAGAGAGAAAAATGGGAACGAAAAGCCACCAATACGCAACAACCGAGTGTCGCTGAGGAAGGCAATGGTCGAGGAAATGAGAACCGCAGGTTACTATTTCCGGTTTCAACTCGCATGACCTCCGCATTGTCGAATATCCTGTGTCAAGCTCCGATCATGGATATTTCATCGATTCGCGCGACGGCGTATAACTCGTTCGTATAAATCGAGAAAATCAGCAAGAACGATGATATTCTCTTTCTCGACGACGACTTTCCACGAGCACCGTTTCCGCGATCCTCGGGATGCAACGGTTCGATTAATTAGCGAAGATTAATCGCGCGGATGCTAATGAGAACGCGCGCCGGCGTGGATGCGCACGAAGGAGAGGAACGTTATCGGGCGAACGTAGCGAATAACACACCGTCTCTGGTGTTAGATACTAAGAAGTTAGAGCTCAGCGCGTTTCTCTACGCGACGAGAGATCCGTCACCGGAGACGACGGAGAGTCAGCTCGTCGCCAACGAAAAAGTACCGCGTTAATCGTCGGCTCTTTCGAAGATTCGCGCGACGTCTCCGCGCCTCGCACCGGACGTTCTTGATCTTTGATCAACGAGCGAGAAAGGAGATCTCTCCGCTACATACGAACGGCCGACATCGATATGTCAAAGAAGTTCTCAATTCGCCGATTAATGAGGATCGCAAGATCTCTTCGAGAGATCTTCCGAAAGAAGGAAAGAAGAATCTCCTTTTCGTCGAGTTAGTTGAAATATTCGTACGACGTTGAAATATTCGAACGTCGCACGTTTAATCCATCCATCCGTCCAGCGATATCCATATCCATATCGGATCATCCTCTGTGGTTAAACGCTTATGTTTATTAATGCCGGCGACAATATACTCGAAAGTCTTTTCGAAACGATGAATGCACGGACGTGGCGTTCTTATATCACCATTGTGAGCGAAGGCGAATGAATAGCCTATAATACTACTTTTTTTACCACACGTACACAGAATTCTTTAACACCTTCCCGAGGCTGTGTCTGTGCACGTATGTGTTACATGTGTCTGTGTTTCATTTAGATCAATAGACCTAGTTTTCTAGTGCCAAATTCAAAGTACGCCAACGTAAACGCGCGTCGAATATTTACGCCGAACGTAACGTGTAAAGATATCCGATCCGCTTAATTGTTGTATCAAGTCACATCCATCTATCACACACACAAAAAAAAGTTATACTTAATGAAAAGTAATATATATATATATATATATATATATATATTCTCACATATAAACGATAATATTATAATCTTCATATAAAAAATTTTCAGCGGAAGTAATACTTGCACCGATATAAATTCAATCGAATCAAAACTAAAATTTCTAAAAAGATTATAATATTATATGAGAATATTTTTTTTATTTAAGAATAACGTTTTCCTGTATGTTCGCAGCAGAAAATATCGATTTTTCGCGAGCGCACGATCGCGGGCCGAAATCCTTCCTCTTGAAAACTCGCTCGAAAGCGACGAAACCGTCGGAACGCGAATTAGCGATTTTGAATACTTTTCGAATATTTTTTCATGCCTCGCAATATTTATATCGTGCATTCTCTTCGTGCATTTTCTTTCGTTTGAAAGATTCACATGTCATTAAAACGAATGAACGCGCATATGTGGCTCGTGCGACGCACACGTCGGAAATTCCTTTTTTCTCCTCGTTTCGAGACGTTTGCGATAACGCCAACGCGGTTTTTATCGTTTGCAAGTAATATACTGATTTTTGCAACTGGCACGATACTGTCCGAGCGCGCGGGTAATCGCGCGTCGCGTTGGTTAAGTAATCATAGGTAAGCTTGTCCTTCGTGCATTATCTACCGATAACTCGCGAGCGTAGCTTAACGTGGAAAAGGCGCAAATTTAACGTACAGCCACGTAATACCGGCGGCCGAATAAGAAAATAAAATTCGACTCGAAAACTTGTCCCCTTCGACGTGCAATTGACGACTTTTACCTCTATCTATACCATATTGAAAATTTGACCTTCTTTCGCGTTATTTAACATCCACAACTCCTACTTGGAGTCGCAAGATTCGATTGTGAAGACAGCTGAAAGTGCCTCAAAGTAGAAAATCTTTCGTTTATCTTTCGTTTATTTCGAATGCAAAGCCGAAATTCAATTTATATAAATCTCTACCACAATCCTTTAGAATCTATCAATTTTTAAATGAGGTCAAAAGTGGGAATAAAATTTCAAGTCAATGTCGCTTCCATAAATTTTAATGCCGATATCGATCTTTTGCATTCCGCTTTGAATTTGTTAAATTACTTATTATTCCCACGTGTCTTAACTAGTCTCTTCTTTCCTTTTACAAAGTTCTTTTATAAATATAAATATAATTAAATAATCTTCTAATAATTTGTTACAATCCACTGATATTAGATTTATTAAAATAGAAAACAATAAGGTTATTTTAAGCACTAGCGCGTTTCTAAAAATGTCTTAGATTTATTAATATTAGATCGAGAAAGCAATCTGAAAATCGATTAACTTTACTTTGTGCATTTATAATTCACTATTCTACATCCATAATCTATATCGCAGACGTAAAACGTGTAACGCAAGTAGAGCAAATTATATTATCGTATGGGAGACAGAGAGGTAGAGGGGAGGGAGTGATAAAACAAGGAAAACCTTATTATTATTTTTATTTTTATACCGAAGAGACTGCCGTGCTAAGAATTTTGAATTATTAGAATCTTCAAATAGAATATTCAAATGTATTCGAGTGATGTGAAATCGAGGAAAAGCGCGACATACGAGTCATCGTGTACAAAGAAAATAAAGTTGCAATAAATCGTCCGATACAAATCGTCTCGACGCGTTTTTCTGCGTGAGAAGAAAGAACAATAATAAATTGCAAAATTTGACCCTTTGCCCCCAGGGCAAGCGCACTTCTGAGAAACTTGAGACTTGCAAAACGTAGTCGCGGATCTGCGCGCGTGCGCGCGCTAAGTTGCCTGATCATCGCTTTGCGCGCGAAATAATGGCGCGATATAGAAAAGAGTCGCGTTGTGCGCCGCGTATATTTCTCTATGCATATACGATACTTCGCGAGCCGAGGTGATGTCGAGCCGAGACGCGTGAAAATTTACGTCGCTTGACGTTTCCCCGTGCGCGCGCGCGCGCTCGCGGGCGCGAATGGAAAACAGACGCGTCGCGCGCGCGTCTGTCGTCGCGCTCCTTCGTGCAGCGAACGCGTGTAAAGTAAACAAAAAAGAAAGAAGGTCCAGAAGCGTCTAGTGGAAAAGCGCTCGACGGATTTTCGTGTTTTTTATCGAACGATTAGCAAATCCGCGGCGGCGGAAGTGTGAATTTCGAAACTGTGCGGCTTACGTTACGCAGGTTCCATGAAGGATCCATCGTGATCCCCTCGTGATGGTCGTCATCATCGTCATCGTCGTCGTCGTCGTCGTCGTCGTCGCTGGTCCCGGATACCTCTCGCTCGTCCCTCTCGCTCGACCCTCCAAGGAACTCACGGTACACCGACGTATGAATTGTTTCGGGCAATCGGCAGGATCGGCTCCCCGCAGCCGGCCGTCCTCCCGAGGATGGGAGGGATGTGGGGGAAGGGGAAGGACCCCGGGTCGCTGCCTACTACAGGCTGGCGCAACGTTCGGTTGTGAGGCGCACGACGTGCTCGTCGCCGAATGACTGTACGTCTCGAGAGTTCCACCTTCCACCAGCTAGCAGCGGTTCTAACGAAACT